TCGTCATAACTAGCCCCAGGACCCGGAAAAGCTTTAGCAAACGCTAGCTTGTCTAAAAGCTCATCAATAAAGAAAGAAGAGATGAAAAGTTTTCTCTGACTAGAAGCCATGAAGTTCTGCCTCACTGCGTCATCTAGAAATTTGATTAGGTTATTAAAATAACCGTCAATGTTCAAGAGACCAATGGGTTTACTGTGCAACCCTTCGGATGCCCATGAGATCAAAGTAAACAAACCTTCCATAGTATCAATCCCTCCAGGAAGTACGATGAAGGCCTCCACAACATGATTCATCTCGAAGTACGTATAGTAATTGCTGGAAGCTATGTATTCTGCACCATACGTAAGTCCGTAGACCTGTCGTGCTGCTATGTACCCTGGTATGAAGCCTCTAACTATACCACCATTGGTATAGACTGTTGAAGCAACAGCTCCTTGAAGGCCACCGTTGCCTCCTCCATAGGTAAGCCTAATTTTTCGCCTTATTAATTCCCTTCCTAAATCCACCGCCGTGGCCATGAACTTTGGATTTCTACCAAGAGCATGACTACCAAGTAGACCAACGAATTTTATGGTGTAGGGAAAAGTTCGAGAAGTTCCTTCCATAATGTGAGAATGTAAGATACTCTTGCCACAATTGTGATATATATAGGCCCTGAAACCTAACCTTTGAGAGAAAGGGAAGTATCCTCAGTCAAAATTTGTACAGCAAAGATGGATTTATTTACCTACAGACAAGGACGTGCTTGTTAAAGCTACAGTCTGCTTACGATATGACACATTGAGACTCGTGAACAGTTAGATTTGCTGTCTTGAAATACGTTCAAATCCAAGATGAAAAGTCAAAATGGCTATTTCCCTAAAGACAACGACCCCTTGAATAACATAAAAGATTACATTACGACGTATGAATTGAAATAACCTTCAAGTTTCCAGCTATGCCTATTGTGACCTTTCTACAAAAGATATTGAAGAAATTTGCAATCGTTTCTGATGATGTACACACGAGACTCGTGATTGAATGAAGTTATGTACAAATATCTCAAGTATGCAATACTATACACTATGAAGGAACTTTTGTCATCAAAGAATCAGTGAATACCTTGCTTAATCGAAAATTTGTTAATCTTTCGAAGATTGAACGAGTTTGGTGACATCAACGATTTGAGAATGCGTATCTATGAGATGTAACCATGTGAATATGATGTTGTCACGATTAATTATGACAAATGTTTATTGAGAACCTTAGAAGAATTTCGAGGACGAAATTCCTTTAAGGGGGAGAGAAATGTAACGCCCCAACACATACCCTAGAATTATCAATGAATAATTATTCAATTAATCAAATTTTTTTTGATTAAAATAAATTATTGTTGGGCTTTGGGCCGATACGAAATGTGTTTTGACATCCAATATCAAAATCTGGATAAGTCTCATAGAGATAAATCCAATATGTGGACTATTTGTGTGGTCTTGATTGGGAACCTGAGTACAGACCCAAATCAAGAATAAATGAATAAATTAATTATGATGTGAACTTTGTAATGATTTATTGAAATAAATCATGAGAATAATTTATATGAATTAAATAAAAGAACCTTTTATGAGAAAGGTCAATTAAACCAATTTTGATTCTGTCAAAGTCAAACACTAAAAAAAATATATGATGTTAGAAAAAGTATTACAAATAATTATGAAAATTGTATCGTTGGATAGAGTTTAACTGCACGATTGCAACGGTGCAAACAGATTTCAATTTGGAGAAAGTTGGACCAAAAAGTGTACCCCGATAGGAACCAAAATTGGTCCCAATCAGGAGACTGTGCAGACGGCGCCCCCTCCTCCACTCAGCCGATCATGAGTCATTTCCTACGCAGAACTAGCTACAGGATTGTCTTCTTCCTTCTCCATTTTCCTATATAAGGAGGAAAAACCAGCTTCCATTTCTGCACCAAAACTTAGTAAATTTAGTATCATTGTGTTACTTGTTTAGTGGAGAGTTCATTGTTGTTGTCAATTTGGTGAGAGGTCGCCGGAGCTGAGAGTAATCGTCGCCGGAAGTTTCGCCGGAAAATTCTCAAAACCTTCGATAAGCTTCGAGGTAAGCCCGTAGATATATCTAGTGACTAGAATGTTCATATAGATCATTTCTACGTTCGTAAATGGTCGTTTGGTTGAGTTTTTGTTTGACATGTTTGAAGAACCAAGAATCATAAACCATGAAATTGTTGTTAAAATTACGAATTAATGACTCTAAAATGATCTGTGAACATTGGAGAACATTTTTATTTAATTAAATTGAAGTTTGGTGATTAAAAAATGATAATGTTAAAACTGACCCGAGGAAGAAGATGATGAACAGTGGCCGAAAATCGATTATTTACTTACTTAAAATCGATTAGAATTTTATTCAGATCAGTGGTTCGAAGTCAGTACCATTTAATCGATTATTTATATTGTAAAAATCGATTATTATGAATTAATTGATTATTTAAATTGTAAAAATCGATTATTATGAATTAATGGATTATTTAAATTGTAAAAATCGATTATTATGAATTAATGGATTATTTAAATTGTAAAAATCGATTTTTTATGAATTAATCGATTATTTATATTGGAAAAATCGATTATAATGAATTAATTGATTATTTAAATTGTAAAAATCGATTATAATGAATTAATTGATTATTTAAATTGTAAAAATCGGGCAAAAAGCCGATGTGAAAGACTAGTCGGTTTCGTTTTGCACCAGGGCAATAAACCTTCCTTTTCAAATGAAGAGGATATGGTGAGCTGTTCTCGCTTGGGTCAAAAGCGTTTGGGAAAGAGATCGGTCGGACTCCACCTCTTCCCGGTCACCTGGTCAGTCTTGAGTGAATACGTTAGACCGGGTGGATATAGCGAGGCTGTTTCTAAATAATCTACCCGGCAATAGATTTAAAGTTAAAAACTCAGGTTAAAAAACTGAAAGGTAACCATGCAAGGATAGACAGCGGAATATAAAAATTTTAACATCCTAACATGATTATCTTGCCCTGAATCACGTACTAAAACTTATAGTGAGTAAGAAATTTATACCTTTCTCCGTAAGCGGTAAAAACGAAGAAGTCGTAGGAAGAGCGTTGAAAGTGCAAACGTAACCGTTCAAGCGTCCGGTCTCCAACTTTGACACACGAACAACGCCGGAGTCTACCACAATCTTTATGCTAGTAAAGATTATAGTAGTATAAAATATAAAGATTAAAATTGGGATAATAATAATCTTGTATATTTCTTATAGAAAATATTTCTAATAATGTTTAGAAAATATTATAGATATTTTCTATACACAAAATGATATTAATAGAACATAAAAGAAATTTTCTCTCACTAGAAATATAATGGCCGAAAACCCTTAAAAAAATGATAATCTTCCCCATGCCATTATATTGTAATAGCCGTGTGATTTAAAAACAAAAGAGTAATCAAACTTTGTCATTAAGCTAAAAGTTAAACTAATTAATAAACTTTGTCAAAGATTGATTTTGTGATCTTTTAAATCACTTTGGCCGAAAATTTTGATTATGAGAAAGATTTTCAAAATTCTTCTCCACTCAAATGTTCAAAGTGTATTTTATTTGACACCAAAAA